GAAAATGTAAGCTGAAATGTATTGTTATTTAACAAGATCCTAAACATGATTAAATTTTATCCAATATAAAACAACAAAGGTGGTCAAATGGAATAATGTGAATAATGTAAAATTTTAAACGTTGTAAACTTGTAACAAAAAGAGGATAGAGAAAGTGTATAATTTCTCCATTTTGTAATAAGTGCAACATAATTCTTGTAACAAAACTCCATTTTGTAATATGTTTTAACTTGTAAATTTTAAACATTGTAAACTTGTAACAAAAACGTTGTTCCCTTGACACACTTTTTTTTAAAGACCCAGAACAAACTGCAAATCTTCTGCAGTTTGATTCCAGAAAGTGCAGGAAGAAAGAAGAAGAAGATAGAAATTGAGGAAGAGTAAACTAAAGAGAGAAAGTTAAGTCGAAACTTTATTGAAGAGAATTTATGATCTTACACAAATTAGAGCTCATCTGAGTCTTTAAATAGCAAATACAACACACGCAATATGCGTGACTAAAATCTGTTAAGTTAAAACATAATTCTAAGTTTCTAACTAACTGTAATTAACTAAAAATATCTATAAGATATTTACAAGAAGTTATTCTAACACCCCCCCCCCCCTCAAGAATGCTTAGAGAAAACTAAATGGGTGCGTAGACATCACTGATTAAATGAAAGAACATTACTTTTCGCCTCATACATATCCTACAATTATTTTTCTAAAGCAATATAAACGGACAAAAGTATCAAATAATTACTGATTAAGCCTCTCTTTTATTGATCAATTGGTTTTCTTAAGAAAAGTTTACATAAATTAAATTGTTCTCTTGATTTACGAATGCTCGCTATCATTTATAAGAATATATTCATTTTAAGCAAGAGACTAGAAAAATGAATAATATGATAATGTTGTAAATGAGATTCGATTCGTAGTCCGGATCCCTTTGGATATTATCTTTGCCATGGAATTGCTTGGTATATGCGAAATTCTATTTTTTTAGTTTAACAAAGAATAAAGAAAACAATATTTAAGGTCGCCATTGACACTAGACAGAATATGATGAGGAAAAAGGCACTTCCTATGATAGAAAACCCTTTGCTTTCAACACTAATTAATTAATGAATTACTAGGGTTGGTTACAATACATTAGGGGTTGGTCCATCGGTATTAGTGGAGTCACTATTATGACTGCGAACTCCATTAGCTTAACAGAAATTTTTAATACTTAGTGGGCGCACTAGCTAACAAAGATTTACTTGACAAAATGACATTGAATTTGGAAGTTGCTTGATATGTGGGCCCCTTACTTGAGGCCACTTTGCACTGTGGAATAGGGATATTCTCCGGGACAAGTATTACAAATTCACAACTACTATATTGGCATGTTGTAGTACCCTGTACAGATAGTTATGGGTCGTTTCTCGTGTCTAATTTGTATTTTTTGGGTCTAGTTAAGTCTGACTCTCAAAGACGTTATTTGTTATACGGTTATACCGTGTTGAATTGAAATTTTCAAAATGCAGGCATACACTTCTCAAGTTAGCGTAGGTTAAATTCCTACTTGTAAGCCTATCCCTACCTTATAAAAAGTTTAACAAAACTCTTATAAATAGTACATGGATATTTATATTCCTAAAATATTCTTTTACATATTTGCCCTCATTTGATTTTAAAAGCCTAAAAATTGTCTCTTAAATCCCCTAAATTGATTAATTATTTGTAAATAAATAGTTGTGCAGCTGTGTTTAATTCAATATTTAAAGCCATATTTTACTCTATTCATTTCTTTTAGTTTTCCTATTTGGAATTTGATCACTATTTAATACAAAGTATTAAAAAGACTCTAAATTTATACGAAGTATATAGGAAAACTAAACGAAATGAATAGAGTAAAATATGGTTTTAAATATTGAAATAAACACGACTTTATAAGGTAGGGATACATGGAGTACAAGAATTATACTTCATATAATTGTGTGATGTTTCTTTAATTTATATAACTAGCTAGATTAATACCTATACGATACATGATAGTTGCAATTTTTTTTCCATGATTAATCTGTGAAATATAATATAATAATGAGGCAATTAATGAGGAATAAACAAATTCAATTCGTATAAGAAAAATGAACTAATAAGCGGGAAATTATCAATAAATAAAAACTAAAATTGTGAAAAAATTATTGTTGATTAGTTGTGTACATCTAAAAGTGGAATTAAACCGATAATAATTTATCTCAAAGGGTTAGCCATACCGAGCGGCGGGCGCGATGCGCGCGAATCCCTAGTATAAATAATGTAGACCAACTTAATATAGTGTAATTTGTTGTAATGGATTGTGTCATACTTTGTCGTATATATTTTCCCTAAAATAATGTAGACCAACTCAACCGAAGGCCTGATACACACAACAAATTATCGTGTTGTGCCTACCTTATGCTAATCGTGCCGTGCCATGGGCTGACCCAAGTCACCCAACGTAGTGCTATCTTTACTAATAGCTACTCCCTGTGTTTATTTACTTATTTTTTATTTATAATCTTATATCCCCACCATTACTAAATAATTGTAATGCTTGTCTTTTATGGCCATTTTTAAATGACTAAAACACGTCTTAATTTGTCATGAGATTACTAATTTTTTTTATTACTTTTCTATCTCTCCTGTTGCAAACAATTAGAATTATCCCCTTCTTTTGGATTGAAATTTACAAAATTAAACTGAACTGAAAGTGAACTTAATGATTATTATAATAATAATTATTATTATTTATTAATTAAATTATTAATTAATTAATAATTATTATTAATATAATATTAATAATAATTAGTATTATTAATATTAATTAATTAGTAATGAGGAATTAGATATAATAAAGTACTGTAAAAATGTAAAATACTTCCATTTAAGAAAAGTTTTGCACAAAAAAGGGCATATTATAAAAAGTATATTACATGAAAAAAATGGAGGGCATAAAAGATTTTAAGCAATCCGAAATGACATTTGTATATTTTCATATGTTTAACTTTTAAACTAGTGTCTTTTGATGTACGTTGAACAAGTTTGGGAGAAATATAGTTATTATTGATGCGATTGTCCCTACATTTTAATGGATAAATTAATAATATTAGACACTCCATCCTTTTTTTCAAGAAAAGAATATATAATACAGAGTATAAACATTCAATTAATTGTTTTGATGAGGATATAATCGAGCATTATTTAGCGGCTTACATGCATCTTTCGTTTATCTTTTTATGAAATACTTTCACTTTCACTTTCACAATTGTGTTACATTCAAACGTAATCCTAGTGAAATTAGTGGGTAGCTAATTGTTAACTGTGTTTTACATATTTGGGTTGCCAAGAGTCCAATAAGTTAGTAAACCAACTCCATCTTTATTTTTTTTAGTGTCTTTGATAACCACCAATATCTTTGACTGCATATAGTAAAAAATTGTGAAAGGCACCACACATCAAAATGAATTTAATTTAACAAGATTTAAATAAATTTGAGTTTTTGTTATTTTTTCTTCTATGTTAAAAAACAAGATTTTAGATGACTATATTGATGTAAAAGTAGAATAAGTATAGCTGCATGAATTTGAACTAAAGTATGCCTCAATCCTAGTGATACTTATCCATTTGGTCTACCTCTAGATAGTTCATTTGCGGGGGTTCTTCTTAAAGTGTGATTATTGCATAAAGAAAAGTTGCAATTGATTGACAGCCAAAAGCTAAGGCATCCACACTATTGGGTTTTTGGTTCAACTGTTGCATAAATTTAAAGTGTAACATCATTATTACTGTGCCAAAAAAAAGAGAAAAAAAAAAAAAAAGAAAATAAAAACAAAACCAAATGGCAAGATTAAATAATGTCAACGGGCAAATTAATTAGCTAAAATAACTTAAATACAAATAACAAACACATGTCTCCGGTTCAAATTATATTAGTTGATTTGTTCATATACCTCTTCTAATCATTTCCTTAAAATGTGTGTCAAGGGGGTCTGTTAGAATAACTTCTTGTAAATATCTTGTAGACATTTTTAGTTAATTGCAGTAAGTTAGAATTCTGTTTAGCTTAACAGATTTTAGCCACGCATATTGCGTGTGTTGTATTTGCTATTTAAAGACTCAGATGAGCTCTAATTTGTGTAAGATCATAAATTCTCTTCAATAAAGTTTCTTCCTAACTTTCTCTCTCTAGTTTACTCTTCCTCAATTTCTCTCTTCTTCATATTTCTTCCTGCACTTTCTGGAATCAAACTACAGAAGATTTACACTTTGTTCATGGTATCAGAGCTATGGAGCTCGAATTCTTCCTAATTTCTCTCGATTTTTCTTGATTCTTCTCGTTTTCCTTCTTTTCAACCAACAAATTCTTCTCATTCATCTTTCCCTTTTTCTCCAAATTCTTCTGATTCTTCTTCACCTTTCTCTTTGTCAGATTCTGCTTCTATTCCTCTCAATCCTGTTCTTTCTTCTGATCATAGTTCTTCTGATTCTGGTTCTAAAAATTCTGAGGCTCAAATCCCTATCAGGGCATCTACTAGACCTTCTGTTATGCCATCTAAGTACAAAGATTTTGTACTATCTCTTCCTAAACGCAAAAACATAGAACAAGCTTGTTATGATCCTTCTCTTTCTTTCAATGTTTGCAGTGAGCCTACTCTTGCTCATTTACAACCTGATTCTTTGCATAGTTTGTCTAATGTGTTGGCTGCTTATAAGCCTTCCTCTTAAAAACAAGCTAAGGAGCATCCAGAATGGGTGGAGACTATGGATAAGGAAATTCAGGCTCTGGAAGCCAATGATACTTGGGATCTTACTGAGTTACCACCTAGTAAAAGGGCAATAGGCTGTAAATGGGTCTATAAGACCAAGTTCAAGCCAAATGGTGATGTTGAAAGGTGCAAAGGCAGGTTGGTTGCAAGGGGTGATAGACAGATTTCTGGTAAGGACTACAAGCATACATTCACTCATGTTGCTAAGTTGACTACAGTAGGGTAGTTATGGCCATTGCTGGTGTAAACAACTGGGATATTCAGCAACTTGACATCAACAATGCTTTTTTGCATGGTTTTCTTGATGAGGAAATGTACATGACACCTCATCCTGGGTATACTAAGGCAAAACTAGGTCAAGTTTGCAAGCTTAAGAGGTCTCTATATGGTCTCAAACAAGCATCTGGAATAAAGAGTTAAGCAAATATCTTGTAGATTGGGGTTTTATTCAGTCGAAACAAGATTATTCATTGTTTGTTTTGAAGAAGAATAGTTCTTTTGTAGTTGTTGTGGCCTATGTTGATGATCTTCTCATTACTGGGAATGATAGTAAGTTGATTTGGGAATGATAGTAAGTTGATTAATGATCTGAAAGCTGGTCTTCACAGTGCTTTTACTATCAAAGATTTAGGTGAATTGAAGTATTTTCTGGGAAATGAAGTATTAAGATTTGCTTTTGGTATTCTCTTAAACTAGAGAAAGTATATTTTAGACTTGTTAAGGGATCAGAACATGGAGAATTGTGTTCCAGCTCCTTTTCTTATGTCTAAGGGTTTGCAACTGAGCAAGGATGATGGTGAGTTGTTATCTGATCTAGAGGTGTACAGAAGGCTGATTGGTAAACTTCTGTATCTTAATATGACCAGACCTGATATTTCTTATGTGGTACAGCAATTGAGTCAATTTTTGTGTGAACTAAGGCTTCCTCACTTTGATGCTGCTATTCACATCTTGAAATATCTTAAAGGGACTCTCAATCTGGGCCTGTTCTATCCTGCAAATTCCATCTTCATTTTGACAACATATAGTGATGCAGATTGGGGTACTTGTCTTGATTCTTGCCTTCAATTCAGGTTATTGTGTTCTCCTGGGAAATTCTCTGATTTCTTGGAAAACCAAGAAACAAAAAGTGGTGTCTAAGAGTTCCACATAGGCTGAATATAGAAGCATGAGCCACACTGCAAATGAATTAGTCTGGTTGGAGAGGCTTTTATCTGAATTGGATATTGTTGTTCCTACTCCAATCACACTATATTGTGATAATGTTTCAACACAACACATTGTTGAGAATCCTTGTTTTCATGAGAAAACAAAGCACATGAGAAGTAAAAGTCAGAAAATTGATGTACACTACATAAGAGAAAATGTGCAACATGTTAAATCTGCTCTTCAATTAGCAGATATCATGACAAAACCTCTGAGGTCTGATCAACACAGATTTTTGAGCTCAAGGATTGGCTTGGTCAATCATGCTCCTGCTCAAGAATGGACCGGTGTTTCACAACCAAGACATAAATTATAATCTACGTAAATTTTATATAGTTAATTACGTATTAATTAGGTGGTTCCATTCTTGCTATGAAAGAAGACATTTCGCCTTTCTTAATTCTTAACAAGTTGATTTAAAAAAATTTGATGTATCATACATATTAACAAATAACAATATGTAAAGTGCACCCTTTTTTTTTTATGGAGATGTACATATATATGCTAAGAGATTATATAATATGTGTGCTTGACTGGGATGACGACCTACACTCTTATTGTGGGCTCGGGGTGTTACAGGTTGAGACCAAATCATAAATAAATTTTTTGAGCCATTTATGAGGTTGAAGGTTCAAAACTTAATAATTGTATATATTTTTTATCCAAGATTCGCCAATGGGGTGTAAATCAATGCGCAATAAATATCTTGTATAGCTTATAAAATTGATTTAATATAAAACTAAAGCAACCAATGTTCATCCCTCATGAATAGCCGGTGTTTACAATATGATGATAATGGTGCCCTAATTGTATTGTACGGTGAACCTCTAAACCCAAAAACTGACTTGGTTTGGAACATAAACAACTTCCCTTAAACAAACCACGACATATAATATCCAATATTTTAAGTAGAGAATATAATTGTTTCAAAAAGACAAATGAAAGTTGGGGTATGATCACATTAAACCTATTACTTTTCCTTTTAATTACTGGATGTAATATAAAGAAAAGGGTCGTGGATTTGCTCAAATCTACAAAGTTCTCTCTTTTTTTATAAAGATAAAGAAAGAAGTCGTTGTGCAAGCAAAGTGGTCCAATTTTTTTGGGTGTCTCTCTACATTTTAATTAAGCTACTTCTAATTCGTTGAGAACATGGGGTAGGACCTCTCATGGTGCATATTAATAACTTTAAGGAAACATACTTATATTATCGGTTTTTTATCGAATAGTCATGAACATTATACTTCATCCGTCCTTTAGATATTGCAACGTTTTCTGTTTTATAAAAAAAAAAAAATTATATTTATTGCAATGTATACTCCTCTTTATGCATATCTTCTTTCTATCTAACTAATTTTAATCATCACATTAGTATCTCTTTTATTTTTCTTTACATATTATCTATTTCATTACAAAATATCGTTCATCCCTTACACGTTACAATGACAATAATGTCGTTGAAGATGGGTATAAAATGTAACATTGATGTGATACATTGATACCCAATTGTAAATTAGGCTATTATATACTGCATACATATATAGATCATTCCGTCAAAACTTAATTAATTAGTTAGTCATGTATGTAGTTTGTTCTTAATTAATAAATATGCTACTCTGTATATATTATTACATTTACTCAAATGCATGTTTTTCCCTCTAGGTAGAGGTGTCAAATTAAGATGTGATGGTTAGATCGTTCTAGTTCTGGTCATATTGAATTTGGTTATGTTTGCTAGGTCAATAGACTCAATATGTCTAAGATTATGTTCGTTAGCTCCGTAAATAATAGAACAAATGTTGATCGACGCGATAAGATTTGGGTTCGAATCACTTAAAAATACCCTACTTTTAATGGCTCAGCTCCCTTTATACAACCAAAAAGTGCACAGATTTTTAATCAATGAAAAAAAAACAGAACCATTAACAACAATTAACTACAGTTGTATGAAAATTTTTATTGGATATTTGTCATTTTCATTAGCAAATTAAATTAAAAGTTGCTTTGGATGTTTATATGATGCAACTCATGCAAGTGCCTTTTCAAACAAGATTAATGTCCATAATTTCATATATGTGATGTTATATTATGGTGACTCTTCAAGCAATTGCAAAGCTAAATATAGGTCAGATCATCATGAGATTATGTATGATGTTATAATACAAACCATGTTTTTCTTAGCATACAATGATATCAGCCAATAAAGTTTTTAGATTGTATAATGGACGTACTTGTAAAGTTGTAAATTTACTAAATTGTAGTTGATTTTTCTTTTATTTTTTCTTTAATCAATCTTAAAGCTTTATACGTTTTTTTTAAAATAATACTTGTTTTTATTTATTGAGGAGTGTTAATTATGTAACGTAGTACAATTCTTCCCTGTTAATTAGCAGAGGCTTTACCTCTTCGTAATGGCCTTTTGTTACCTATTGAGCATAATGGCGTGATGTTAACGAGCACGAGTTGAGCAAGCTCTAACTCGACTCGATAAGATCGTGAGCAACTCGATAATGTTTTTTTATTTTATTGATATAGAGTTTACAAACAAAGTTATTACTATGCATAAATTTAACACTTAATAAAAGTTAATTTATATTATCAAAAAAAAAAGTAAATCTTTAATAATAAATAAAATAAATAAAAGAAAACTATATAAAGTGGACTAAAACAATAAAGGCCTGGAATTTTAGAAGGGTCAAAACTTTAACGAGCAGATCGTGAGATACTCGACTTGAAATTTTAACGAGCACGAGTCGAGCAGATTTTATTAGCTCAAAACATTACAAACACAATTTAAACACATGAAAAAAAAAAATTCGAGTTGAGCACCCCTTAACTCGTGATCGACTCGTTCGATAAGCACCCCTACTCATAATTATATAGTCTTAATTCATTAAAGTTTGTGTAACTGAGTGTAATTTTTTCCGGATAATAGCAATAGATAAATAAGATAATGATTGGTGACGATTGACCTTGTGACAGGGAGATCCAGTTGGTATATACTTTGTGAGTTTCCCACTCGTACTATTTATCATCCATTTCTAAATACTTGGGAGTTCATACTATACTCTATTACCAACCAAATACAGAGGAGAGAGAAAATTCTGCAAATTGTGAGATGTTGAATTATGAAAACATGAAGGGTGATTTTTGGGGAGGAGCTGCTGATGGTCCTCTCTAAACTCCCCAGCTTTTCCTGCTTTCTTTCTTCCTCTTTTGCCCAGAAGATTATTTTTAAGGAAAAAGTGAGGGAAATTTATGAGCAAACAGACAAATCATCATCTGGGTTTCAATAATTTATTCAGCCTTTTCTGTTAAGAAATTTCTGGGATTTTTTTAGCATCAATTTGTCACTTTTTTTTTGGGATTTTTTCATGAAAGTTAAAACAGGTAACTTTCTGTATTTTTACTTTTTAATTTTCATTATGTTGTGTGAATTTCTTGATAATATGATGTGGGTGTGTTTGTTTGGATTCATTGTTCTGAGTTTTTCACTTTTTCTTCACTTTATAATCTTTACATAGTTTGAATTTCTGAGGTTGTTAGGAAAATTCTTGTTTTGATGTCAAAGAGGCAAAGATTAAGGTTTGTAATTTTTGGCGTGTATAGGGCAGTGACAATGAGTGATGTAGACGGAATTCAACCCCGAGCCTTGGCCTCTTGGATTCCTACTTTAACCAACTAACCTAGTCGAAATTAAGGGTTGATTCAAATGATCCTTTGTTATGTGATTCAGAAAGTGGGAGAGTAGCAGGCTTTTAGGAAATTTGTATAACTGGAGAAAGGCCTACCTTTTATTGCAAAATAAAATTCTAGAAATCAAGCTACTTTAATTCTAGTAACTTTTAGCTCTAAATCTGCTTTGAACTTGTTTTCAATCACTTCAATACCTAAAAATGCATAATTCTTACCTGTTTTTACACTTGTTGTCAATTAGAACTGTGAATCTGCCTTTAGACAACAAATTGATTATGAGGAACAATTTTTTGTATTTTTGGTTGAGTTTATCAATTTAAATTTCAAGCTGCATATTTCTTGTTAATATTGTTGTTGCAATTTGAAAATTCAGATGTGTAAAAATGGCAAGTTTAAACTTGTTTAAATTTCTTATGAACAATGATAGATAATTATGTATGTGCAAATAAGCAACTTTTTCATTACATTTCTAAATATGTTTGAAACTGATGTGACTATTTGCTACTTTTATTTTTTTTGTTTATTTCTAGCTAGCAGCTAAATTTGATAGTTTCTAAAAATAAAAACAATAACAATTGTATTTTGACAGGTAAAAAGGAATTTCTGAACTGGTTGCTGTGGCTGTTTTGTTAAGGGCTAAAGTGTTAAATGCTCAGTGTCAGCAAATTATTCTACAGGGAAAAATCGCAGTAGTTATTCAGGTGTCTTATCAGTCGAGGCAAGTGGCAGTGAGCGGATCTTCTCTAACAGTGCAGATTCTGCGGATGTATTGACTGCCTTTGGGGGCAAATCTCCTTTGGCAATATAGTTCTGGTTGAAAACTAGAACATCAGTATCTAAGTTCATCAGCTACATAGCTAGCTCTCCCGGATAAATCTCCTTTGGCAATATAATCTGTGCTTCGAAAAGCATAGATTTAAACAAAAATAAACTTAGCTCATTAGGGCAAATCTCCTTTGGCAAAATACAATTCAGTTAACTTTTTGCAGTGCAATATCTGTAAGAGAGGTCTTCATCTGCTGACTTAGTGGTTACCACTCCTATCTGTTTTCCTGTCTTCTATCCCAGCTATAGGGCATATTTCTTTCGACATTTTTGTTCCTTCTCCTTATTCGTTAGAGAATATAGTGTTGAAAATATCGTACTCATAGTTTTCTCTTTGTTGTTGAGTAGACTTATCCTTCCTCCCAAAAAAAAAAAAAAAAAAATCATTCCTTAGGCAAATCTCCTTTGGAAAAGTTCAGTCCATTTTATTGAGCAAATCTCCTCTGGCAACATTAAGTCCAATTTGTTGGGCAAATCTCCTTTGGCAACTTTAGTCCCTTTTGTTGGGAAAATCTCCTTTGGCTGTAGGAGTCGTAAATCGACTCTTATTATCCTTGGGGGCAAATCTCCTTTGGCATACTATCTCCGGTCGGAGATACCTATCTCTTGCTCTCCACAAAGGAAGCAAATTTACTAGAACGTACTATCATCCGGTCACTTTGAGAAATACATTATTTTTGCAGCACCAATTGACTGAACATTTTGCTCAAGAAGATCAGCCCCTACTAAATCTAGAGTTAAGTATCTCAGTCGTATCTTCTATAGCTTATGTGAAAATTGGAAACTTCATATGAGATTGTGGTGTTTGCAATAATATTCACCTTTTGACCTGAATTTATATCCCTCTATTTCTTTGAAAGGTTGCAGTGAGAAACCTGTCATCTAATGTTTCCAGCTCATATATTAATGTGTTATGATTTTATATGGTGCTCATACAGCAACAAGGATCATGGCAATGGAACTGTTTGGTGATTCTGATGTTGAGAGTTTCAGTGAGACCAGCAGTGATGATCAAGATGATATATTTTCCATCTACAGCGGACACGCTCAGAGTATCTTGTCCAATCTTGAAGACAGCATTGAGAAAATAGATAATTTCCTCTCATTTGAGAGAGGGTTCACGCATGGGGATATTGTGCGCTCCACAGGAAATCCATCTGGACAAATGGGTAAAATAGTGAATATCAAAATGTTTGTTGATTTGGAAAATGTTTTTGGTGAAGTCATAAAAGATGTCATTTCCGAAAAACTGTCAAGGATGCGGTCCATTTTGGTTGGGGATTATGTGATTCATGGTCCATGGCTTGGAAGAGTGGAGAGAGTGGTTGACAATGTTGGTATTGTGTTTGATGATGGAACTAAGTGTGAAATCATGGCAACTGACCAAGCACAGTTGTTGCCGCTTTCTCCCAATTTACACGATGATTCACTCTATCCCTATCACCCTGGACAGAGAGTAAGTTTTAGTCACCCTACTGGGTCAAAATCTACTGGATGGTTATGTGGGAGGTCCAAAAAGAATCAACACGAGGGGACTGTTTTTTCTGTTGAAGTTGGACTTGCATACATTGACTGGATTTCCTCTGCTATGGTTGGTGTTTGCATGACTTTACCTCCTCCAACCCGTTTGCAATATCCCAAAAATTTGACCATGTTATCGTACATCTCACATGCTAACTGGCAACTTGGTGACTGGTGTGTCCTTCCATCAGAAACTGGATTGCAGAAAAGTGACTCGTATTCACATTTTGAAGAGATTTTTTCAATTGTAAAGAATAAAATCAAAGTAGATGTCATGTGGCAAGATGGTAGTTGCTCACTGGGGTTGGATTCACAAACTCTCTTCCCTGTATGTGTTCTAAATGCTCATGATTTTTTTCCTGAACAATTTGTTTTGGAGAAGACTAGTTCTGATGATCTAGTTGCACCAGTAAGTCAAAGATGGGGGGTTGTTAAATGTGTGGATGCAAATGAGAGGACTGTCAAGGTGAAATGGGAAACCACTGGCAGTGTTCCTAAAGATGTCAATGAATGGAAAATGGAAGAGACTGTGAGCGCTTATGAATTGGTTGAGCACCCTGATTTCTCCTTTAACCTTGGTGACATTGTGTTCCTGTCAGAAAAGAATGCTGATCATTTGAACAAGATGAGCAGGGAAAATTGGACTACATTGGGAAGTGACAACCGTAATGTTGAATTGAGTGAAACCCAGAGGAAACATTTCCTATCCTTTATCGGCTGTGTTGTTGGCTTCGACAATGGATATATTAAGGTTGAATGGGCTAGTGGAGTCACAGAAAAGGTATGCATTTCTTTGATCTGCTTGTTGTATGTATTACTCGATTTCTACTTGTAATCGTGTAGACTGATGGGTTTGAAGCTGGTTACTTTGAACTCAAAAAATTTGTGATTTGGAAGTCTGCTGCATGCATTGAGTTTTGAGTTAAAAATTATTGAAATTATGACAATGGTGTTTTTAGTTAACATTAGTATATGTGCTAGATTTCATGCCTATGAGGGCCTCTAAGCTAACGAAACAGGAGAACCCTTTCATGCTTTCTCTATCAGATGATTGAAATATCCAATCATTTTTCGTAAAATTCTCCCGGTTTAGGTGTCAGCGTTATATGATTTTGTAAGTGAAACTGCTCCAATGGGTTTGACAGATAGGGTGATGCTACTCTGATTTAAGAAGATAATGTTGCAGATGCCCTTAAATTTTCCATTTAAAAGGGAATGTTTTCCACCATCAATTTAATGTTCATGGCACCTTGCTGTTTTATTGTTTTTAGGTTGCTCCTTATAAGATACTTCGCATGGAAAAGGATGATGGATCAGTTGCAACTCATAATTTTCCAGAAGGAAATGTTGCTGAATTCAGTGATGAGATGGCTGACTATGAGAAACAATCTGTGAACAATCAGGTGAATACTTCTATTCTCTCCCTAGACCCTACAATTGCTTAGATGTACTTTCGTGTCTCTGTTGTGCTCTGGTAATATTCATTCATCAACATGGCTTCAACACAATGACTCTAAACAGGCTATAACATAGGTGGGTAGGGTAGGTCGTATATGCGCAATCTTATTCCTATGATGACAGAAAAGCTAATAAGGTCAACCCCATAATTAGAAACTAAAGAGCACAAACCCCATGATTGGACAGCTCTTCCACTCTATGATTTTTGTTCACTGCTAACCTCTCAAGATCACCTTACTTTTTGTTGAGAATGAACCAATGATGCTCACCTCTTTCGCACTTAGGCTCTGTTCACTTCACCTTAAAAAAATAATATTCAGTAAATTTAATTTCAATTTAGTAAAAATAATTTCAGTTTAGTAAAAATAACTTCAATTCAATAAAAATAATTCTAATTCAGTAAAAATCAGTAACTTTAAAGAAGAAATATGATAGAGAATCAGTATAAATAATTTCAGTTCAGCAAAAATAATTTGTGTTCAGTAAAATTATTTTCTGATCAGCAAAAATAAGGTGAAGTGAACAGGGCCTTACTTTGAATTCATTTTTCATCCTTAATGTGAATGCTTAATTTATGTAAACTCTGAACTATTTGTAAGATATATAAAGGCCAGCGACTGTAGTGCTACATATCAATTTCACGTTTTTTTTTTTTTAATCTTAATGATGAGTTCTTGAGTTGATTTGGGTCTTTATAAGCTGATGTTCTGTTACTCATTTTGTTGCACTTGTACCTGAAAAAAAAAAAAAAGTTTATGATCTGCACCAGAGCTATGTTTGATGATTTGAAGTCTGTCCATGTTTAGGATTCATCAGAAAACTCTGGTATTGATGCTGTAAATTGTCAAACCGACCATAGGAGTTCCCGCTTCTTCAGCCTTTCTCAAGCTGCAATGGGGCTCTTTACTAGTATTGCTGAAAATTTCTTCAGACCACATGGTTTAACATCCCTACCACAACACCTGTCATGTTCCCATGCAATCGGTGAAAGTAATATTGGAAGTTTTGAGGAGGAAGACATCATCGAGTCTTGTGACATTGACCCAGATAACCACACCATGGAGTTCAGTGACTTTGATGCTTATGGGAGCATAGATCTGATACAGAAAGTTGAAAAGAACTCAGAGAATATGGAACTACTGTCTGTAGCTAAATCTAAAAGTGTAAGGCAGTTTAAACAGTTCGACATTGTAGGTGATTGCTCTGGCCATCACTTTGCTGATGCAGATGGCAAGGGAGCAGCATCTCAGGCAAGTATATATAGCTTTTTCTAGGAGCTTAAGTAGTTTAACGTATCACCTTGAAAGGAAGGATTGATTTGCGTAAATAAGTGATCATGTCTTTCAATTGCTTTCTGCAGAAGAAAAAAGGTTGGCTGAAGAAGATTCAGCAGGAATGGAGCACTCTAGAGAAAGACCTTCCAGGTAAAACCAGATTGTTTTTTTTTTTTTAATTGCTTCTTTTGTATTGCATAACGCTTGTACAATCCTCTTTTCCTGCTCTTGTACTGATAAGAATACTTTTACCAAAGCAGAAACAATCTATGTTCGGATTTATGAGGAAAGAATGGATTTGATTCGTGCAGCCATTGTTGGTGCTCCTGGAACTCCCTACCATGATGGCCTTTTCTTCTTTGATATATTGCTTCCTGCTGATTATCCTCTAGTACCTCCTGTAAGTGTTTTCACTCTTGTAGTCCTTAATTTAAAAATAGGCAAAGAATGCCAAACCCAGTAGTTTGCTCACAAATTTAAGTGATGGTGTGGTGGGTGTGACCGTGGCATTGTGCAACATGACACGCCTTAGACCTGGCAAATGGGTCGTGCGGGGTCGGGTACAGGTCGGGTCAATTTCGGGTCGGGTCGGGTCAGTTAACATTCGGGAATGGGTCGGTCGGGTCATTTTGGGTACGGATCGGGTCGATTTTGGGTTGGGTCAAGTATGTTCAGGTCATGTTCGGGTTGTTCCATTTAATTTGTGGATTTAGCTCAAATCAATAATTTTATATTTTATTATTGTTATAATAAGAACTATCAATTCGGTTTATGAGTGTGGCTACAGAACATGAACAATTTAAATTATTTTTGGCACCAGACATTTTTAGTTCAATTATAAGGTAATTTTAGTTCGGGACATTTCGAGTATTGGGTCTATTCGGTTCAATTTTGAGTATCGGGTTTGTTCGGTTCAATTTTGAGTATCGGGTTTGTTCAGGTCAAACAATTCGGGTCAATTTCGGATCGGGTCAACTTCGGGTCGGGTCAATTCGAGTGTTGGGTCAGGATCGGGTCAGCTCTATTTTCTGGTCGGGTATGGGTCGGGTCGGGTCAATTTCGGGTTTCGGGTCGTTGTATTTGGGTCATTTTCAGGTCATAGGTCGGGTCATCGGGTCTGGGTCGGGATTGCTAGGTCTAACACGCCTGCAATCAAACATAATTAGTATATTTATCATTAAGGCCTTGTTCTACTCATTTTTTAAAGAAAGTACGAAGTATTTTTCACGTCCAATAAGTTATGACTAGTTCCATTCTACAACTAATAGTAAGGGTCAATAAGCTCAGAAGTATTAGTGAAAATATTATGGCCTAATTCTCACAAAATCAGATTTGGGTTTGAAAACAAAGGGTAAATTGGAGAATTTCGATTGATTATGTAATGAAAAGTTTCTTAAATGACGTGAGGAGAATTTGATACAACGTTACATTTTGTAATATGACACAGATGGTGCATTACCACTCTGGTGGTTTGCGTCTCAATCCAAACCTTTACGAATCAGGAAAGGTGTGTCTCAGCCTCCTCAACACATGGACTGGCACAGGATCTGAAGTGTGGAATCCAGGAAGCTCGACTATTCTTCAAGTTCTTCTCTCTCTTCAAGCCCTTGTGCTAAATGCAAAGCCTTATTTTAATGAGGCAGGGTATGACGAACAGATAGGAAGAATAGAGGGAGAGAAGAACTCTGTCAGCTACAATGAAAATGCATATTTGGGTACATGCAAATCTATGTTATACCACTTACGAAGGCCACCCAAGGTATGATGATCACTTCAGAGTTTCAAGTATGAATTTCAAAATTTTGACATGTATACTCATGGAACTGGCTTGCAGTGATAAATTCATGTTTTTCAAATCTTTTACTTGTATAATTTTGTTAAAAAATTTATAATTTTCATTCTAAGTGTAAACTTGTCAGTTGTATAACTCTAAGCATGATTAAATACTGCAATTGGCAGCATTTTGAAGAACTGGTCGAGGAGCACTTTGAAAGACGTTCTCAGCATATTCTATCAGCTTGCAAGTCTTATATGAAGGGGGCACCTATTGGCTTCTGTACCAAAGTTGAAAATGAAAAGGGTAATTCAATGGGCTTCAAGATTATGCTAGCTAAACTCTTCCCCAAGCTTGTGCAAGCCTTTTCTGACAAAGGAATCGATTGCAACCAGTTTATCGAGCCAGAGAAATAAAGAGCCAGTGATAATAGATCACTGTGTTGGCCACTGGCACTATCTCACGGTGTTAAAGTCATCGTGTGTACAATGTGTAAAATAGAAATGTATTTTTTTTGTTCGCGTTCCACGGGATTTGATTGGAAGTTGGTGTAAAATAGGTGAATGAAATGAAAAGATTGTAGAGTGTATTTGTGAAGTTTACTTCTGTCTGTGTACTTGCCAAATGTATGATATGTTGTGAAAGCATCAATAATGTTTTTGTTTGATCTAATTGTAATTTACGATTTGAAGTGTGAAATGTAAGAATATTAGTGTATGCTTTACATTACTTGTGCCTCTAATTATTCTTCATTTTAGTAAGCACTTTCTCAAGAACTTTTGGTGGCCTATGAAGCACTAAGCCACTGATTGTCAAAATGTTGACATTTCAAAAGTTGAGACGACTCATAAGGGACCTCAACAATTAATGCAATTTTGGGAGATTTGTATGATTACGTTTTCATTGGGATTTTGAGAATAATGAATTGGGATTAGAGACTACTCTTGACTAAATCACCTCAAAATTGATTACACAAACTAGACTTGGACTTTTAACCTCAATCTATACTATAAAAAATTGAGACTAAATTGCTTGATTTACTTATTACGAAGTATAATAAAGTAATTTATGCTTCCCAAATCCCAATTCCTTAAAAATTGCCCATATTGGGAGCATTGGTGTTAGAATCGCGATCCAGATCGTTGGATCTTACCAAACGATCCGGATCGTTAGCAAAATCACAATTAAGGTGGGATCATAGTAGGATCGATAGGATCGTACAATCCCACTGATCCCACCCGATCCTTCAAATCAACTAAATGGTGAGGAATATCAGCCCAAGTTATGGTAGGATCGCTTATCCTACGATCCTACACGATCCTATCCGATCCTACTAGATTTTTAGATTATTTTGTATTCTAAATTATTTTTTGGATTACTGTCTTAAACATGACTAATCATTTCAAAATTATTGGTTTTAGCATCAATTTAACCCCGAATCACATGTAATAAATATTATTATAATCTTTAATCACCCCTTTTACGAGTTTTTGTAGAATCTTACGATCTTTACGATCCGATTTTACCGATCCGATCCTATCACCCCTTTTTGATCCAAGTAGGATCTCGATCCTGAGAACTATGCTTGGGAGACGTGGACTACCCAAATCAACATAAAACAAACACCTACAAATAAATCAAAATCTACAACTAAAAACTTGTGAGTTTAAACTGACCATTTTTTTTAAGTTTGTTTTTAAGAGATTGCTCTATTCTTTTTAGGGTAATGCTATATGTAAGGGCTACATATAAGCATTAATTACATTCTTGAAAATAGTATAAAATTAGGAATTCATGACAAAAACACGTGTAAATCAATGTAATTAGTGTTTATATTTTTATAATTTCCTAAATTTATACAATTTTCTAGTATGTATTTAATGCTTATATGTAGCCCTAAAGGCTAGGTATAACATTTTCCTTCTTTTTATATGGAGTATTAATTTAATCTCTACATAAGTACATAATACTACCTAAGATGGGATAATCTTTCGATAGAGAAAGATAATACGGTGTTTTTTCTGTGTGGCTGGGGTTACTTATTCAGGGGTTACTCGGTCGATCAGGGGTTACTTATCTAGGGGTTACTCGGTCGGTCAGGGGTTACTCACACACAAAAAAACACGCTAACCGACTGAGTAACCCAAGAATAAGTAATCCCTAACCGACTGAGTAACCCCTAAAGTAACTCCGGTCACACGATGGGGCCAGCCACATATACAAATTTGTGAAGATCATATTATACTTAACCAAGATATAATTTGGAACCAAACTACATAGCCCATCACCTTCATATAACTAGGAACTGATCTAAACTATACCCAATCCGAACGACCTACTAAGACAAGTGAGTTATAATATAGTTTTTTTTTTTTTTTTGGGTGCAGGTGTCAAGCCCATTTTATTAAAAGCAAGAAAGAGATTAAGCTTTGCCTCAAAAAAAAAAAAAAAAAAAAAAAAAAAAGAGAGAGAGATATTAAGCTACAAACCGTGGTCAAGAAACTCAGTATATCGAGATGAATCTAACAATACAGTATAAACAACAAACAGTCAAAAAAGTTTGTATGAACATCACAAAAATTCCAATGTTGTAAAGAAAATTAAACTCAAAACTACTTGCTAACCTCTTTTTTTGTGCAAATGAAGGGTAAAGCCCGGAAAATAAAATTACATAACAAAGTGATTAAAATAATACAAAAGCTAACCAGTGCCCCAGAGACGTTAGATAAGAGAATTAAATGTGGAAATATTAAAGTAAAATTAATGTTAATTACACTAATTAAAACGTGATTTTTTTATGCATTCCGAACTTAATACTATTTGAATAATATATTACGGGGTAATTATTTATCTAACATCCTGGACTCTTGGTTAGTAAGATTTTTAAATAAAACTCGATAATTACTTCCTAACTAATGAAACATCAATACGGAGTATTTTATTGTTTGCCGGGTCAAATACGGTATGAATCGTATGATATTGAAAATAGTTGTACAAACTACCAAATGAGTATAAATCAAACCAAAACCCTTAAATCAGAGTCTACTCAAACAACAAACAATGGACACTCTTCCTCCATTCTTCTTCTTCTTCTCCACTACTAAGCTTTCTCTCTCTTCAATCTCTCTCCTCTTTCTCTCTGTAACAACCATTTTCTTCACTCAAACCTTCTGCTACCAAATCTCTTCTTCTTCTTCTTTCCGCACTTATTCAATCCCTTACTCCGACCACTGCGGTCAACTCATTCCTGAGTCAACGCCAACTCACCCTTTCTTCACCGCCCAAGTTCCTGCCTTCTACAGTGCTTACGTCATCAATGGCGATCAATTCCTCGGACCCAATTCCCAGATCACCGCAAATCTCATCCCACAAACCGTTTTCAATACCTCCTCATCTGGGGTTTTCAAAATTCAATCATCATTGCTTGTTAGAATCAATTGGGCTCGATTTCGGGACTCGAGGAATTTGATCAGTGTTCATGGCGGTCCTCGGCTTCGAGTTCCTTCCAGGAATGTGAGGTTTCAGCTATCTGGGTTTTGGGATTCGGCTTCTGGGCAGCTTTGTATGGTGGGATCAGCTTCAACGCGTGTGATTAATGGTAATATTCGTCATTTTGATGCTGTTTTTAAGTCTATTTATCCTAATTCTGCTGTTGTTAATACTAGTTTGATTACTGGGACTTTGGAGAGTTTGGATTCTGAGGGTGGTGATGGTTATTTTAAGCCGATTTCTATTATGAGTTTTTCTAAGATGAACTATGCTTTTACATTGATTAAGGATGATGTTGATAATGTTAGTAATAATGATAATAATGATGGTAAGTCTTTGGTAAATGGGGGGAGGAAATTTGGGAATTGTTATCAATTTGCAAGCTTAGAGGATAATTTTGAGTTGGAGTATGAGACTGATTGTGATGGTAGAAATTGTAGCAGGATTGATGGAATTCTTGGGTTTTTGCCTAAGTTTATGTCATTGAATGAAATTGACTGTTCGGGGCCAAAGATGGTTCGGGTTTCCTTTGGTTTTTCGAATGTTAGTGATATTCGGAATGGTTATAGACAGCCATTGGACCCTAATAGGACGTTGGTTGCTGAGGGATTGTGGAATGTAGGAAAGGGTCAGCTTTTCTTTGCTGCTTGCCGGATTTTGAATTTCACGAATGAGCCTTTGAATGCTACAATTGGTGATTGCTCGGTTAGGGTGAATTTTACATTTGCGGATACTTTGTCCATTAGAGATACGGGTGTAATTACCGGGCATGTTTGGAGCATCAAGAGTGCAGATGAACCAGGATACTTTGATAGAATTGAGATTCGTGCTTCTGGAACTAGGAGAGCTGCACTTCCAGACATGAAATATAAGTATACTGAAATTGATAGAGCCCAGAAATTTTGTGCAGAAAAGAAAGGCAGTAAGCAAAAAGGAAAGAGTTTCCCTGATCCCTATTCCCAAGATATGAAATTTGACATGGAAGTCAAGAATACCAAGGGTAAACGGGCCTGGGGCAAGGCCTATCCTGTGTTTGTTGGTGATCGTTTTGTGCAAAATATTTATCCATATTTCCATTCACGCCTAATACCGATTCCAAAGTCTGCTGTGAATAATAGCTACCATGGCTTTCTAAATATTGCCTATCGGATAACTTTTACCCCTAAAGACGAGTTTAAGGTGGGGGGTAGATCATTCACTATTAACGATACAATACGAATATCTGCTGAAGGGATTTATGATACTGATGCTGGACGCCTTTGTATGGTAGGCTGTTGGAATCTTAAAAATGATGGCAATGCTCCCCTAAATGCAAGTATACTTGACTGTGATACTTTTGTCAACATTCAGTTTCCTCCTCGTGATTCAAATGTTAAAGACATGGTCAAGGGAACTATTGAAAGCAAACGTGACACCATAGATCCTCTCTACTTTGACCATCTGGATCTTTCAGCTACTTCACTGACAAAGTTCCAAGTAAAAAGTGCTTTTTGGAGGATGGATTTCGAGATTGCTATGGTTTTGATTTCCAACACTTTAGCATGCGTCTTTGTCGGGTTGCAGCTATTCCATGTTAAGAGGAATCCAAATGCCCTTCCATATATTTCACTTGTAATGCTCATAGTGATAACCTTGGGACATATGATTCCCTTGCTTTTGAATATGGAAGCATTTTTCTTGTCCAGTACCAGCAAGAGAACTGTGCTTGTTGGAAGTGGCGGATGGCTTGAGGTGAATGAAGTTTTAGTCAGGGTTATAACCATGGTTGCATTTCTTCTAGAATTCCGTCTTCTACAATTAACATGGTCTGCTAGAGCTGGTGAGGAAGACAGCCAGAAAACAATGTGGGAAAGCGAAAAGAAGGTTATTTATTACACTTTGCCTTTATATGCAGTAGGGGCTCTGATTGCTTGGCTTATACTACTATTGAGGGGTTCACATACTGTACCATATCAGCATATTAATTTAAAATCAAACCCTTCCCTTCCATTCTGGCATGATGTGAAGTCATATGCTGGTTTCATTCTAGATGCCTTTCTTCTCCCTCAAATTATCTTCAACGTGCTCTCTGATTCTAAGGAGAGGGCTCTTGCTGTTCCATATTATCTTGGGACCACAGTTGTTCGACTGCTGCCACATGCTTATGATCTGTTCAGGGCTCATAGTTCGTCATGGAGCTTTGACCCATGGTACATTTATGCAGACCCAGGAATGAATTTTTATTCCACTACATGGGATATCCTAATTTCATGTCTTGGCTTGCTGTTTGTCGTCCTTATCTTCTTGCAGCAGTGGCTTGGTGGAAGGTGGGTTATTCCGAAGAGATTTAGCAAGACCGTACAATATGAAAAAGTGCCTGTGGGGCTGTAGGAGGGAATAGGTGATTCAAAGCAATGCCCATAAAAGCTTATCGTGCACCATTAATTTTTTTACCCTCGGCCCCTGTTGTTGGGAAAACATGTCTGCTCTGGTTACGCTAGATGCAATTGAATTTGGTACAGTCCTGAAATTCCTGAATACCAAGGCAAAGTCTGGTATGAAACTGCTTCCCAGTAACATAATGTGAGATGGGAGTAATGAATTCTATTATTTGGATAGCTTTCTCACCTTTTTGGATGTTTGTTTGACAATTTTTAGAGGCAATGACAGTCTCTTTGAAAACTTGCTGTGTCATACCAGGACTGCTTGTTGTCCACTTGAATTGTGAGTATTTAGATCAAACAGTATATGTTACAACTTACAAGTATGAAATATCTAGCTGCTTATTTATGTAGTATTCCATCTTCTCGGATGTGCTTATTAGTTACTACTCCTGCTTTCTCTTTGATGTTGCTTGATTGGAAGCAAAAAACACTCGCAAGAAACTTAGTCATGTGGAGTCTTGTCTCAATGAGAGTGTTAACTATATTAATTTTCATAATTTTAACTAATATGTAATTGGAAGATATTAACGATCCTAGAATCCTAGATGTTGGGTTAAAAATAGTCTTTTCCAGGAGGAAATATTCCTCGTCTACAGGAAGAAATGCCACATTTTTTAGATTGGTCCGTTGGTCGTTTTCCTTAGTAACCCATTCAAGGTCCATTAGCATTGTCAAAAGCTCATTCCAGAAAATAAGACTATTTCACTCACGAGTCACAAATTAATAGAAGGTTGCCATTGATCACTGTGTTACCAATAATCAGCACAAGAGCATGATCCATCTTTAAAATGGTGAAAACGAAGTTTGTCACGAACTATAATTTCTCGATTAGTAACACTAGAGATAAACTTAATTGCTAAATGACAGTCCTCACACATTCTCAAATTCTTCACAATTCTAATTACAGACTCCTTTTTAGCCTTCAACAACCCAAATGCTAGTGCGAGCTTCTCACTATGGTATCGAAGAGCATACTCTCGCTCTTCTTCTTCCAACTCGTGAAGGACCGACTCTTGTGCTGAGACATAGCCAACTTCACTGATCTTCCTCATCAGATCATCCAAGTACTCATATATCTCACTGGTTACAGAATTGGACTTGTCTCCCATGCTAAACAAATAAGTCCTTTGATCAACCTCTATTGTGCTATAACCAACATGCTTCTTCAAGCGTTTTCTGATCATTACATTCCTAATTTTCTCTACTCTCTCCATCTTACCAGCCAATGCATACACATTCGATAACATAACATAATGCCCTGGATTGTCTGGCTCAATAGCTAAGAGTTTCTCTGCAGCTTCAACTGCCAAATCAAAATTTTTGTGCATCTTGCAAGCTCCAAGCATTGCAGTCCAAATCGCAGGACTTGGCCTTTTCAGCCCCCGAGTATAATCGTATGCCTCGTTGAGTAACCCAGCTCTCCCGAGCAAATCAACCATACAAACATGATGCTCGGTTCCAGGCACCACACCATAATCACTTATCATGCTCGAAAATACTGCCCCCCCTTCACTTACCATACCTGCATGAGCACAAGCTGATAGCATAGCCACAAAAGTAACGTCATTAGGCGATGGTCCATTACATTGCATTAGATTATAAATCTCCATAGCTTCTTTACCATAGCCATGAATTCCGTATCCTGATATCATCGCGGTCCATGCCACAACATTCTTCTCTCTCATTACGTCGAAAACTTCCCTCCCTTTTCTCACATTCCCACATCTACCATACATGTTTATCAATGCAGTCCCAAGAACAACATTCAACTCAAACCCATGATCAACAATGTACTCATGAACCCAAGAACCTAACTCAAGTGCACCCAACTGAGCACAAGCCGATAAAACCCCAACAAAAGTAGCCGAATCAGGATCAACACCAGAATTCCTCATCAAATTAAACAAATCCACAGCATCCTTAGGAAACCCATTTTGCTCATACCCAGAAATCATGGCATTCCAAGCAACAATACTTCTCTGAAGCATTTTATCAAACACCTTACGTGCAACCTTAACCTCACCACATTTCCCATAGAAAGCAACCAAAGAAGCCTGAACAAAACAATCTGAAACAAACCCATTAACCACAGCATATGAATGCACAGATTTACCCAACTTGAAGGCAGAAACAACAGAGCAAGATTTTATCAAAGAAGTGAAAGTGTAGTTTGAAGGGGGGATGAGAGAGAAAATCATACGCTGGTAGAAGAAAACGGCATCGCATAAGAGACCAAGTTTGGAGGAGATTCGAATGAGGGAGTTGAAGAGATAGGAATCTGGGTTTGGAATGGAGAGAGAAAGCTTTTTAGCATAAGCAATGGAGGAGCGAGAAGAACAAGCTAAAATGGCGAGCTTAGTGAGGAGGGATAAGCTGCGGTGAGCTCCAGTGGTGATAAGGTGGGCGTGCACTTGCTTGAGCTGTTTCAGACGAGGGCCTGCTCGTTGTAGAGCTTGATAGGCTGATAATGGTGATGATTGAGAGTGATTTGTTTTGTCCATGGAAGATCGGCCGTGAAAGAGAGAGAAAGTGGCTTAAATTATTCTTATTCCGTTGTAATAATATTGCAATAATTGGACTTTTGCACTATATGACTTTTATTTGACCATATAATATAAATCATACATAGTCATGTGGAATCTTGTTAGATTCGTCTCATAAAATACTTTCACAATATCAACTACGGAGTATGTGATTTGGAATGTGTAATTTTATCCATGTGTTGCAATATTACTGGAACGGAGGAAGTATAGAGTATAAAGGTTGGTAAGATTATATTAAGCCCCATTGCCCCGATGTTAAATATTCTCAAATTTGCATGATACCTTATTACCTTGGTGGCTATGACACGGGTCAACCTGTGATTACGAGTAGTATTCTTACCTACAAGTCTACAGCTAAATTCGGATGGAGGGAGAATTTGTTGGTTGTTAGTTCGTGATTGAAAATATTAGGGACTAGGTTAATCGGTTTTTGTATAAAATGTTGACTAGTAAGCTCGTTTCAGCAATTGAAAAATAATAGCAATATGTATGTACTATCTTAGTGTTCTACTCATGATAACAATAATTATTTGATCGAGTTAAGAAGCCAAAGCCAACCAAAAAATCCAAAAAAAAAAAAAAAGTTATTGACCGAACCAGCAAAATACTACGTATAGTATACAAGGCTGAGTGTTTTCAAATGATTCAGTTTGCATAACATGTACTTGGTATATTCTACGAGTATAAAATTTTGCAACTAAAATTGTCATACTCCCTCCGCCCGTAATTATCTGCAACATTTACCTAAAATGGGTGCTCTATATTATTTGCAACAAATTTTTTTCTTTCCTTTTTGGGTTATATTTAACTATTAATTACCCACTATTACCCACTTTTTTGGTTAGTGGTCCCCTCCACCACCTATTACCCACTACCTAAAACCCACTACAAATATTTGTGTTCACACTACTACCAAATATAACCTTATTTTTCAACACTTAAATGTTTAGTTTATATATATCATCATATGGGTAATTTTGTACTTTTACCTTTCTCTCTCATTAATTAAAACCCACCAAAACTCAATTAAAACTCCCCTAAAATTTTTGTCTAGAAATCCAAAATATTGTCCTTTGTTGCAGATAACCTCGTGCGGAGGGAGTAATAAAATTGTGATTGATGAAACTATAAGATACAACAGATTTAACCTCATAAACGAAAAGTTTGGCATGATAGCCACAAAATAAGGTTGCAAATATACTCGTTTTGCATTCTTCTCCTTTCATAATTGTTATAAATCCCATGTGGTTGTAGCTCACCAGAAAAGGCAGATGTCCAACACTAGTTAACAGCTCAGATGCAACCAGGTGAGCGTTTACTCGCCGACAAGTTCTGGTGGGGATCTTGGCTATCAATACTAGACTGATCCCCCAACAATCATTTCACAATTCCATGCATTTACATTACAAACCCTTTGAGCAAAAAATCAAATTGTAACCAAAACGAACTTAATGCAGGTAGGCACACACAATACTAATTACTGAATACATTTATGAAACTTATGCCAGGTTTTAGAACCTCTTCTCAAAGTTTTTATCTATGATGCAACACAGGTTAGATGTGATTAGATACTGAATCTTGGCAAATCCTAACATAAATATTCAAATACTAAGCAGCTGTTCCGATAGTAGAAATTGTATCGATTCCAAAATACTGCAGCAACTTTTAAACTTTGTGCAGTATCTCCCATAAATCTCCTGTGCAGAATGTATATGGGAACAACCGAACGAGGTTAACTGGGATGCAGATTATGCACCACTTTGTTATCCATCAGACAAGGCAACACAACAGGCAAAACATGCACAATTAATTGCCTCATTTGAATAGCACGCATTCATTTTTTCCCACAATATCCTGCAAGAGCCAATGTTATCCATAGCTGCTTTACTCAGGAACAAGAAGACACTTGTTGACAATTGGTAATCAGCATGCTGTGTTCAGCCAGTAATTGCCGCTGCTCCTTCAGCAACGGCTTGTCAATCATTTGAAGCCATAAGAAGCAGAGAAGTCTCCAATGCAATTATATATATACTCTTATAATAACATTCAACTTCACACTGAAACAACCGCAGAACATGACTTCTGCTAATCACCTTAAGGATAGACCTTAAAGGTAGCTGTAAGCTGCCTGTGTGTTAATTGTAAGCATGAGGTTGAATTTAGTAGAATCACCACATTGGAGCCTCTTACTATTGCTTAAGCAAGCCATAGGAAGGCCTGAATGATGGGAGAAACATAAAGAATCTTATATGCTGCTACTATCAAGGGCAACGAGAGAATCTAAGAAGACATTTACAGTTATGACTAAAGCTCTTTAGACAAAAGTTCAAATAATCGTCCTCTTCTTTCCCAAGTATGCAATACAATTTACTACTTTTACCTCTCTTTGCAGAATTACAGAGCCATAACCACAACTAATTTGAATGAAGAACTTTAATATTTAGAAGAGAAAATAATTATATATACTGATGAAATGTACTCAAAATAAGCTGTGAAATTCGAGAAATGCAAAACCAGAAGAGCCGTAGTTAAGCAAATCCAAGCCAGCAGAGTGACTGTAAAAGAGAAACATTCTTGAAGACATGGGTTTCTACAATCTATTTGCACTCAATATGAGTTGACGTAAGAAAGAGAAAAGTTCAAGCAAAACAAACGCTAGCAGAAGTAAAAACATCCATTATTTCTCTCTATCAAACTTATGCAATGCAACACACAGAACAAAAGTGAATAATTCAGAGCTGCTGAAGCATGTGAAAGTCAAAGTAGACAATTCCTTTTATCCAGAGTAAATAATTGCTCACACTATCGCATGATGTCCTAAAAGTACTATTTTCACTTTTTCAAAAGCAATACTATGAACTTACGATTGAATATTTATAAGCTCTTAAATAGAGTAAGTGATGAGGAGGGATAGATATATCACTACTGTTATAAAGCATAAATTTCTGAGTTCATGCCATGCTTGATTGCAGTTTCAAACAGATTTGAGTATTTTTTTTTCCAAGTGCATGGAAACAAAACTAAAATAAGTTAAAACAGATCTAAGGATGCTCCCTTCTTTGTTATGACTTATAAAGTGTGTTTGAGAAAAAAAAAATTACTATGCGATAGGATACATGAATAAAAATTAATAATTAATAAAATAAATGCTGCACAATAACACAACAAAACTCCCAGAATTATTGCTTCCAGCAAGGAATTTCAAAAAAGGAGTTTGTTAGAGCATGTAATAGAGACATATCGCTTGTCAAAGAATTGATACAGACATACAGTACTATCAGTTCTAGCCAATCGTTTAAATTTTATTTGCAAAGCTATAATGGAGAAATTTAGTGCATGTAATAAATGCATCGCAATGAATGGATGCTCTAAGGTAAGTATTAGTTGCACACTTGCACTTGATGACAACTATAATTCATACTTCTATTAGAAGCTTTGATACAGTGCTGCAGAGTGAAAGACATGCCTTTGGTTCGAATGAATTTCACTCGGTTCATATAAAAAAAAAATTAAAACATGGATAATATATACAAAAAAATCGGCCACAAACTACAGCATGACAGAATGTGGCAACGGAATATCCTTTCTATTGAAAATCTAACATAGCTACGACATCAGAAAATTGATATTTAATAAGGAATGAAAATTTAAAATAAAACTAAAGAGACAGCATATTACTGCACAACCAAATTTAATAAAATTTCCTTCTCAAGTTTAGGTTAGTGAAGGGTGAATCAAGTGATACATACAGCAAGTTCCTGAATCAAAGAAGCAAATTGCTTGCCTATCTGCATTCATTTCCATACCCTACCGATGACGCAAAATCTGAGAAGAATAACAAAATTAGAAAATAATATTTTAATTAGACGAGCAATATGAAGGATGCTAAAAGCAATATTTCAAATGTAATGCACACATCGTCTCTGACCAGAAAACCATTAAAAATTCAGTAGTAAAAGCAAGATAGCCAAATGTCATGCAAATATTTCAATCATGACATTGAGATTAGATGATACTACATTTTAATAAGTACAAAATGATGGCACAAGCCTTTTAATAATGGGCAGGGAAGTAACCGTTGGTTAACTAGCATCCAACTTTTGGACCAAAATACCCTGGACAGTAGCAAGCATAAATATTTAATTTAGAGAGTAATATTATTCTGTCATATATAAGTCATTAGGGTCATTGGTAATTGGTGTTCCAAAGTCCCTTCCCTGCCTCTTTCATGTTTAATTGGTTGTTTAATAAGGGCATAATGTATATTTTAGACACCCTGAGCGCCATTGTACAGAGTTCCTGACATTGCCGCATTATCATCGATCAAGAAAGGAATCCAAAAGGAGCTACACGTAAGAAATTTGTATGATTGTCTGGCACTTGACACAATCTTTACTATAAAATAGTTTTAACAGCTCTTGAGAGGTACAACAAGATGATAAGTAGAGCATTTGAAAAAATACTAAAAAGTAGATTCTATCTATTAAGCATATAACTTTCACTATCCATATTCTTTTTCAAAAATTACTAATACTATTTTGGTGGCATCACTGATTTCAGTTCACCATGGGTTATGAAAATATAAAATATAATAACTTTTATATGAAATGTTGACATGGATAGGAAAATAACGGTTTGAAATTTCAAATAGCATCTACTGAGATTGCCATTGTTAAACTACTTTAACGAGAAAGGTTCATTGCATAAGCTTAAAAACGACAAGGAGGAAACAGATAATTTATGGATAAGAAAGGGTCTTGTAAATATACTTTCTTTTCAAAATAAATTTTAGGTGTCTGTCAACTTGGTCTATGATTTATACAGTTTCCATGTACAGTATTAGAAGACAATAGCTATGAGAAGAATATTACCTCTATTCACACTTAAAATTTAATTTATCATTTGGCAGTAAGAAGTTGTGAAATTTGGAGGCCCCTGCTGAAACCTTCATTGAAAAGGATCCTAGTTTGCATTGACTGGAATCCAGGCATCCAAGACAACAAAGCCACGGGAACCATAACAATCATGCCAAATGTCAAATCATAG